TTCTTTTTCTTTTGCATCTGCTGTGTCGCGCTAAGGATTGTTGGGAGAGGAAGAGAGAGACCAACTTACATTCGCATTTGACTCGAGTACGGGTGCCAGGGTCGCTATTATGGGAGACGGATCCATTTTCGTAGCCAAATGATCCAAGAAGATGCGAGAATTTAAGCTCCGGAGTCAGGCGTACAACTTTTGAGAATTCGCAATCTTTAAGAATAAGAAGTGTCGAAGAAAGGACCGTGACCATGACGCTGAGCTCGGGCCCCGCATCGTATTGCCCACCAGATGACCCTCGATAGCGCCCAAAATCTTGACAAATAATGAAAAATGGAGGGCTCTGATTGCACGAGTAATGTATCAATATGAGTGTCCCAGTGCTCCGTCTTTGAGGCTTATCTCGTTGGATACGAGCTACTGCTCTCAAACCGAGGCCTTCTAAGCCACTTGCGCCTCCCCTCTCTACTTTTGGTTCGAGTTTGCAGATCCCCGCGTTAATCAGCCATAAATTTAATCTCTGCACCAACTGCAGTCTTAGTTCTTTATCATTAGACTCGATTCCGCGCCGTGGGGGTCTGTACGCGTATCTTGCAGAGCGGATCGGGCAGGGCTCGAACCTGGCAATGAAGGACAGTAACTGGTCGCTGCGTCTGTGTGTTTCGCGTCTGGACAGAGGCACGTCTAGCCCTGCGCCTGAAGCAGCGCACAATACCATCTGGGGCTACGGGCTCACGCCCGAGCAGCCCGGGAACTTCATGCGCAAGCCCATGTGCTGCTGCGCCGGCCAGGAGATCCTAAGCGAGGTGCTCTCCCATCTAGCCTCCTCATGCTCCGGCTCCGACACCGGCACAGAATTCGACTTTGAAGAAACCCTCTCCACAGCAACAACCATCCCGTGCCTGATGCCGCTCGCCTCGGCCGCCCTGGTGCGCCGAAGAGACGGCGACCGGCCTTGCATTCTCCCGCAAAACTTAAGCAAGCCGGCGTCCCCGAGGAGACGGTGTGTGGCCTCGAGTATGGCATTCGCAGCGCGCAGATCGCCGTCGATGCGCTCATGGGGTTGCATCAGAGCTTACCCAAGGTCAAGATTTCTCCTGTGGCGAAGCGGTACGGGAAAGGGAATCATTAGTATGGGCGGAATGTAATGGGATTTCTTTTTGGCTTTCCCAATTCAGGCCAAGATATAGTTAGTTCTGTTATTTTCCATCTTTGGTGGCAAAACGCCTGCTCTGCAAGCACGAATATCATCATATCATGCATACTCAAACATAAGTGAGGTCGAACAAGGGAGATTGAGTGGGTATGTAGTGCCAGTTCAATGGAAAGCGCTGAAGGGAACAACGAAGAGAATTATCAAGCAACCAGCCAGGTTACATCGAATGCCGAAATATCATTTATAGAAGCTCCTTTAAAAGAGACCTGACTCCCGGCCACGCACACAGACCACAGCATTCCTTCTTATTCTTCTTTATACCGAAGCTGTTCCTTCCTCCCGCACATCTGATGCGAAAAGAAGCGACCGCTGACAGAGCGGGCAGTTGTTGTTGCTGTACAGATACCAGTACCGCAGGCACTTTTCGTGAAACATGTGGCGACATGCAAGGGAATGCACAAAGTCGTCGGGATGGATCTCGTCAAGACAGATGGGACTGAAAGGCGCAATACCGTGAGTCATTTTCATTCTTTTCTTTTGGACAGATGATCTTGGGATACTACATACCACGTCACCGACAGTTCGCCGCGGCATGGAGACTGAGGGGCGTCAGCTCAGTTGGTTTGAAGGCTGGACACCACTCCCGCAAGCGAACTCGCCCCACACCCCTCTCCAGGGCGACGAGCTTGGCTTGCAGTCCGTCGGCGGTGAACGTGCCGACGGGGCAGTTCTCCAGGCGCTGGTACAGCGTCCGTTGGCCCTCGCGGTAGGAATAGAGGAGCCTACCATACATGCACGAGATCAGATCAGACGTGGATTTGAGCTCAAGACGGGGGTAGATTGGACCAAGTGATGGGAATTGGGAGAATGGGGGCGCGCTCTCACCAAGTCATTGCGGTGATAAAGACGGCAGCCCTTGAAAATAATACAAGGCAGAACAACAAATCCAGTTGAACCAACGCATTCAATAGCAGTAACCCATTCTCGCTGGCCTGGTTGAATAAGATGGGGTTTACCAAGCATCTCAGCCCTTGTGACAACCCGTGTAGTCGCAATTAGGCCCATAGCGAAGTCAGTTTCATCGAAGTTGTAGATATCTTGAAGCTGGATAGCGTTATTCTTTCGCAGAGCTTTTAGGCTGTCAAACAACTTCGTCATGGCCTTAGGATCCTCGCGGAGAGCGCGCTGGTAGTTGTACTTGCGTGCAAATCGACTTTTAATGCTTTCATGACGCTTAATAAACCCTGTAACCCAGTTCTTTCCGAGGGGCTTCCCGGGGGAGGGGGGGGGTGTTGTGGGGGTGTTGTTTGCTGAATCTGCTTGCAGAGGATAGGCCATTTCCTGTACATGAGAGACCCTAGGAGCAACTCCACGTGTATCTCTTGAAATAACCCATTCTACTAAAGCGTCTTCCTGAGTCTTTAGTAAGTCGGAGGTTCTGGTTGTAAAGTTCTGGTTGAGCAACATGCCCTTCTAATCGATCCCGGAGAGTTGAGCGAGGCACATTAAAAACCTCTACCGCTCGACGAATACTTGGAATTTCGCCATTTTTAGGGCTTGTATCGCGAGCTGGATTCTATCCTCCTGCTCCACCAAGTTTTGACGAGTTTGACGAGTTTGACGCGGTTTTCGTGACATTGTGGTTGTTGAATAGTTTCAATAATTTGACGCGTGGAATTTTGAGGTGGGCGGATCACCCGGAAATTACGTTTAGTTGTAACCGCGCCGAAACCCCGGAATGGCGTCGTGGCCCGGATGGCGCACGAACTCTCTGCAATGCCTGCGGTTTATACTATGCGAAGATGATGCGCAGGATGGCCGCCAACAAATCTCATGAACTCAATGAAAATTGCATAATGTATTAAGGCCTGTATTAAGCCGCTTAAAATTGAAAGCCTGGGATGCTGGAAAATCATCCGACAAAGGTGGGTGTGATGCCGTTTCTTCTCAGTTCCTTTACTTGCTGCTGCAGAGTTTGAATATACTCGACCGCCGAGAAGATTAAGTCGGCCTTGAAAAGCAAAGGAGTGAGGAATCTTCTAACAGACGCAGGTGAACGATTGTCTACGTACCTTTGTCCCACTCGTCCCTCTGAGACCACCCGATTCCATTACCTGAGCCATTCGCTTCAAGGCAACATTAATGCGATCTCGTTGCTCTTTCTGTGTCACTGCGTGCCGTTTGCGTCTCGATTCAGTCGAGCTGATCTGGTGGACAGTAGAAACCGATCCTATGAACAAAACAGCTATGTATCAACTTCTTCACTAACGAGTAATTTTTTTGTCAAATTACCTTTAGGGCGGATTTCTCTCGGCTTTTGCTTGCTGTTCGAGGTAGGCGGTGGTTTGTGGATGGCAGGGCGCGAAGGTCCAAGGGAATCCAGGATGTAGTCGAAATGCTCTGGCATTGCTTGGCTCTTCGAATCAGGTGTTGGGTTCTGCTTTAGTAAGAACTTTGGAGAGCAACGATATTCCGACACTGTGCGTGGGGGCAGAAGCATTGGCCATCGGACTCGCCGCAAAAAGTGCAAACTGGGCTGTAGTGACAGAGAGCGGATTGGGTTTTTGAAGCCCTTTCAATCACGCGAAGGGTCAATGTGGAGTCCCATCCTCGTCGGCATTTGGTACCACCTCCCAGGGACCATGATCACTGTTCACCCACGTGTTTCATCTACCTATTCTGATTGGCTTAGGAACGTTGCGTTTATGCTTGGCGCCAAGTCTATCCCGCTGGACAGAATGGGCGGAGTCGCCAGATACGAGATATGCCTGCCAATCAATGCTTCATCTCCAGGCACGCCTGCTTGGCATACCTTGGCAGAGTCAAGACTCCGTGGAAAACTTTGCATATCAAGGTTGAATGAGCCGCTTCTCACAGCTGATGAACATTCTCTTCATCAAAAAAACTCTCATCAGCTGTCCCAAAAATTATCTTCGAAGCTTCCTCTTTGAACACCTGCATTGTCTCAAGCCTGTCAGCAGACATTCTGCCCAGCATGATCCCCGAAATCACTGCCAAGTATGACTGGATCCTAGCGCTCACATCACTGGCATTCGTTTTTAGCGCTGCAAGTAATGGAGCCAACGATGTCGCCAACTCCTACGCCACATCGGTGGCTGCCAGAACCCTGAAGATGTGGCATGCAGGCATCTTGGCCGCCATCACCGAGTTCGTTGGTGCAGTCGCTCTTGGAGATCGTGTGACTGACACTATCAAGAGTGGGATTATTTCTCCTACTCGATTTGTTGGAAAACCCGGCACGTTCATGCTGGCCATGGGTTGCGCCGAAGTGGGCAGCGCTACATGGTTGACCATGGCAACTTTCATGGGATGGCCTGTATCAACAACCCAGACCATCATCGGTGCCCTGATAGGTGTGGGTTTCGCTTCACAGGCAGACATCACTTGGGAGTGGACCAAGGGCAGTGTATCTCAGGTGGCTGCTTCCTGGGGAATTGCGCCCGCTATTGCTTGTTGTTTCTCTGCTATCATTTTCGGAACACTCAAGTATTCCGTGCTTGAGCGTTCGGACCCTTTCAAATGGGGTCTTCGTCTCATTCCCGTCTACCTCGCCTTCACTGGTGCCATTCTGGCGCTTTTCATAGTCGTTGAAGCACCTACTGCCCCTTCGCTGGAAGAATTCGGGGCTGGGAAGGCAGTTGGTATCATTCTTGGTGTCTTCTTCGGCTGCCTTGTCATTGGCTACATCTTTTTCATGCCCTACTTCCACCGTCGTCTGGTGAAGCATGACTCACGCCTCCGATTTTACCACGTTCTTCTGGGTCCCCTCCTCTACAAGGACAATTGCCCCGTGCCTTTTCCGGGCAAGGGCGAGTATGTCGTGACCAACTACTACGAAGATGCCTTCGGGGAGGTTCGTGCCGGAAAGAAGGATAACGAGAAATTAGGGTCAGGTGCTCCTGCCCCGCGAGAGGAGGTGAAAGCTACCAACGACGACGTCGAGCGCCAACCTGACTCGATCGAGTCCAGCCCCGAAATCACCCCCAAGAAGTGCAGCGTCACGCCTGAGGAACGTTTCTTAGGCCCCGTCCGTGATCTGTCCTGGACCAACCCCCGCAAGATTTGGGGCTACACCAAGTTTTGTCTCCTACAGGGCGTCACTCGCGATGTCGTCACCCACAACTCGGACCGTCTCCGCGATATTCACTCTCGCGCACACCGCTATGATGACCGCGTCGAACACATGTGGACCTATTGTCAAGTCGTCTCTGCTATTATGATGTCTATTGCTCACGGTTCCAATGATGTTGCCAACGCTGTTGGCCCATGGGCTGGATCATACGCTACCTACAATTCCGGCGAGGTTAATACCGAGGCTGATACCCCTATCTGGTTCCTCGTCATTGCCGGTCTCCTGCTCGGTGGTGGTTTCTGGTTCTATGGCTTCCACATCATACGCGCCCTAGGCAACAAGATCACCCAGATGTCCCCTACCCGTGGGTTTGCGACTGAGCTTGGTGCTGCCATTACAGTGCTCCTGGCTTCCCGTCTGGGCCTCCCTGTCTCAACCACTCAGTGCCTGACCGGTGCTGCCCTTGGTGTCGCTCTGATGAACTATGACTTGGGTGCTGTTAACTGGCGCCAGCTCGTTTTCATATTTGGTGGATGGGTTCTCACCTTGCCTTGTGCCGGTTTGATTGCGGGATTGCTTTGCGTTATGGCTCTAAACACTCCACACTTTTAGCACTTTTTCTTGTTTCTATAGATTTACTCTTACGGCTGTATACATGTACATCAAAGCTCTACATCAGCTCCGATCTTGGAACGGTTGTAACTAATTTCTACCTACCTGGTTTTGATCAGAACCGGGCATGTTACTTTAGTTGGGTTGTGTTGGTATGGAGTCGTTGCTCCTGCCTGGTGATAATCCAGATATTGTGGAATATACGGAGGAGTGCACCAAAAGTCTTCGACCACGCTAGTAATGGCACTAGTGAAAGAATGTTTCAAGCCATACTAGTACTAGTAAATTACTATGGCAACCTATTTTTTTACCATTATCAAACCTATACTCAGACTTTTGCTTGCTAAAGTGACAAAACTAGAAAAGATGAAGCTATTCAGAGGCCTTGTAAGGCCCAAGATCCTCGCGTGTAGAGAGCTGACCTTTTAAGCGCTTGCCTTTCCAACTCCTTACATCTCGATCCTCGCGGCCCTCCTTATATTCATTACCTCCTTTATTCTTGATGACCTCTTTGATATGCCTCCTAAGCCTTTGAATCCAGTGTTGAATTCGTTCCTGAGGTAGCTCATCCCAGGCCTTTATCCAGGCCTCCTTCCCAGTCTTCTTATCCCGGGGGGCACCTCGAACAGTTGTACGTCTCTTTAGCCACATCCAACAAGGTTCAATTGCATTAAGATCAGGCGAATTCCCAGGCCAGTTAAGAAGCTTTTGAACCCCATATAAACTGTATACACGTTGCTGGTCATGGTGTTTATGTGCAGGTGCCCCATCCTCTAATACAACTGTATTAGGTCGATCGATCATGCATTCTTGCGCGAAGGGGAGGAGGCGAGTAATAAGGATCTCCTAAAAAGGAAAGAGAAGCTATTAGTTAAAGTCCTCGCGAATAGCTTAGATCTTACCTGCTGGTATCTCCACCAATCAATGCCTCCCTTCATGCTATTTCGAACTAGCTTGCCATTCCTTTGATTCCACTTCCATTCAGGCTTTCGACCACCCTTTCCACGAAGCCCCAGGCGGCTCATCTGCATATTAAGCTCCCATTCCGCGCGATATTGAGGTTCTAGTTGCTCGTTTAGAAGCTCAATCTCTTGCTCTGCCTGCTTCTTCTGCTGCAAGGTCTCTGGCTCAAAGATATGTAATGGGCCCTTCTTATTATATGAAAAGCAACCCCAGACCATAAAGTCAGAGAAGCCCTTCCAGCGCCTTCGAATACAGGTGCGATTATGACTATCCTGAACAGTTCTCCAGACCCGGATAGCTCCTCGTCGATGGCCTAGAACAACAGAAGTCTCATCAGTCCAAATAATATTCTTGAACTCTTCATCCGTTAAGCTATCGAGTTCCTTGCAGAGTTTGAGGCGCTTAAGTCTAATAGCTTCAGTTAGACCAGGCTTCCAAGAAGGTTTTGCAATAACAAGTCCATGCTTATGGAGGATACGTAAAACAGAAGAATGAGAGATACCAGCTTCATATGCAAGGATTTCAGAAGACTTCTCGCGTCCATTTCGATCCTTAGTAACAGAGGTCAAGATAGCTCGCTCTGTAGCTTCACAGATCTCCTTAGGGCGCCCAGATCGCTTACCATCCTCTATATATCTCGCTTCAAGGCGAAGACTCCCGGTCTGGTTGGGATTATAGCCTCGATCCTTACCTCTCTTGATCATATCGCCTACTGTACGTTTAGATATATCAAGAGATCTAGAGATCTTGGCTGGGGTCCATCCAATAGCCCAGAGAGTCAACACTTGAGCGCGGACTTCAAGAGGATGATATTGCTTGCAAGGCATCATGAGGGAAGGTAAGGGGGGGCAGGCACGATTTGCAAAGAATTAAGGAGGATTAGCGCTTTAAAACACTATAAGAATCATGAAAATCGAATAAATAGCGGTGTGAATAGCTTCAAAAATAGGTCCTGAAGATCTTGAAGGAATCCTTCACTAAGGATTATAATGTACTAAAACATTGGTTGCCATAGTAATTTGCTAGTACAGCTATTGTATGGTACATCCCGCTTCCTAGCGCCATTACTAGCGCGGTCGAAGACTTTTGGTGCACTCCTCCGTACTCGAAGACTACTCTGGGCGAAAAAACAATATGACGAAAAGCTGAAGAGTAAAGTCCTAACTTAGAAGTACCAGCACGACAACTCTAGGTATGCCGCATTCCATTCAGTTTATGTCTATGGGTCTGGATGTGACAGACGGAGAGGTATAAGAAAGATTTGCTCTCCTCCCAGTATGCCAAGTGCAAGTCCCAGATTCAATCGAGGTCAACGCTGTCCGATGCTGGCTGCCTATTCTCAAGATGGCGTTGGGATCTCTCATCGGAAGATCCCAATGTGGTAGTATTAAATCGGTTTCGCGACTCTAGGAAACAAGTATACCCCAGCCGCCGGAGCTATACGCAGTCTCTGGAGTCCGACCTCGGACCCAATCCCGTTTCCGCCGCCTTGATGTACACCTCTTTACAGGACATTTCAGGGGACCAAGTCTCCGAGCACGTAGACCTTGAGACTCATGGCATGACGCTCTTCGACCACTTCCAGAACGGCGTGTGGACACAGCTAATCCCTGGGGGCCACTGTTATTTGGAGGCAAACATTTTCGAGCAAGAGACTTCCAATTTCCCTCCAGTGGGTGCTTCGCTTGGGGTGTATAAGTCCTAATGACTATTTCCACATCCCGTGAAGCATTTGAAAAGCATGTAGGCCGCCATTTGGAAGATCTGTCTCTTTTCGTCCTTCCAAGGACGGCTGAAGAGGAAGATGATAACAGTGCCGAGTTTGAGAACCAACATAGTCGCAGAAGCTGAAGATACCGACGGACCTTTTGATGAGCCAGAATCAGCTGGTAGAGAGAGGGAACTTGCTGAGCCAAATACAAAGCAGCCAGAACACAGAGAACTATCATAATCTTCGAGTAGCGAAAGCCACCATGTGCGCCCGCTATCCATTCTCGCTTCCGTAGATGGGTCTAGTCGACCGGGACAGATAGAAGAGGGGGAAGAAAAAGAGGAAGAATTAGAATTAAATCTCATCACATGGCACCAGCCATTCGAGTCTCAATAATATATCCATAACACATTTGTATTGAACAAGCAAGAAACTACCTACATCCACCCGCCTACCAATACGTGTCATTCGCCACAGCCGCCTCACCGAGGGTTCTTTCCGAATTTACCGTGCCCGAAAGCACCACCACAACAAGTCTAATGGTGACTGGTTTCTCTCAGCCCAGTAATCTGGGTCGCCAAGTTAGCGAGTTAAGCTCCTTCTTGCATAATGCAATTACAGCCGGATCGGCCGTGGAGTTGACAATGTAGCGACGAAATCACTCGGAACAGCACAACCAAGGTACCCTTTCGCACAGCTGTCCTAGCTATCATGTTAGGAGTTGTGACGAATGGTGAATGGGTATGTAAGAAATGGGGAAGGAAACTAGGAGGACGTACCAGTCTATAGTCCTCCACAAGTTCTCAACGATCTTTGCGACAGGACAGGAATTACTTAGCCAGAAGGCGAAAGGACTCACAACATACAGCGACATAAAGATTAGCAATGGGGTTTCAATCATGAGGATGAGAGCGACAGATAGGAAGGCTGGCCGTGTAACCACAGCACGAGTCAGCCCTCCTGTCACGACTTTGACAAGAGGAAAAGGTATCGACCATACCATATAGGCTTAACCACGACCACCGCTGCAAATCTCCCCTCCGCTTTAACTGACCCCAAGCGCGTCCCACGAACGGAAGTGTCGTAGCCTCCGCCGCTTGCACAGGAACAATAATCAGAGCCCACCAGATCGTACTGAATACACCCCATGCCGTTGCATAGTCGGCCGACATGGAGACTACACCAGCAACTAGCCAGAGGTACAGCGCATTTCGGATGGCGGATTCAATGAGCGTTATTAAACCGGGTTTGGGTAGAACGAAAAATTCGCGAATCGTCGGCGCATCTGCATCTCGCCTGAAACTAACTGTGGATAGGAAATAGAGCAGAGAGCCTAGAAGGCGCTTATGCGGATATATATAATAGTCGCTTCGCGGACATCATGTGGTACAAAGGTTGACGAGAACTGTTGGGCGGCGCCGCCCAATGTACGTGTGCACATCCGTCGTAACAACGAACGAGGAGTCGATATTCGCGATCCAGATCTTGACTAGTGTTCTGTAGAGCGCAGGGAGGATAAAGGCCGCGGTATTACAGAGCAGCGCGCCTGTGTAACTGGCGTGGAAAATAATCAGTAATGTGAACCTAGAAGCTAAGTTAGCAGCGACAAACTTTGAGCGGTGCCACCATTTCTCTCCCATGGCCCATTTGAGGGAGAGGAGGTTGGGTTGGTCGCGTTGGTTGTCTGCATCCGTGGTAGCAGTAGCTGGGTGGGATAATACTTCGACGCGGTTGGCTTCTGTATTTAGGGCCATCGTCGTACTGACCCCGGATGCGTAGAAAGGCAAGAAGAATCAATCATCAGGGTTGGTAAAGGAGGATATGGAGGAAGAGGGATGTTGGGGAATGTTACCCCGCAGTTCGGCTGAAAGAGTCCGCAGAAGCGATTGGCGATAACAGGTGGGCCTTGATGTTATATGCGAGGAATATAGAGGAAGACAACTAGGTCACATTGTGACTGTGGGGAAGTACTGGAGACTTAAAATGCTCTCTATTCGGTTTTAGTGGCGCGGAAGGCGATTGTGTCTATTTGAGGAAGGCTGGAGATAAGAGGCAAGTTGGAGCTATAGATACAGATAGACGCTTCAATCTCCGAGGCTGGGGCGGGGGTGCGCTTTCTGCTGAGAGTTACCGCCTAATAGATTACTCAAATTCCCGCATCGACTAGGAAACCATCAACGGCCACTACTTTAATACTCAAGAAAAAAAGTTTGAGATGAGACTTTGCAAAGCTCGGCAGCCGATAGTCACAACACCATCCCAAATTAACACTTGGACGTCAAAACATGGGAGTCGGAATGTAAAGGGGAGTTTGATATAAGACATGCCTCAAGTTGCTCTAGAGAGGTGGACTTAGGGAAGAATAGTATGGATGCAACGAAACCAAGGCCAACACCAATAGCGGCTGGTTTTATCAGAACAACAAAGAGCATTCCGTTAAAAGAGGGTTGAGATGGCCCGATAACGAGGAAAATATCCGAGATAATAGTTGCGTAAATCTGCAGTAGAGCAAATTTCGGATTTCTTGTTCGAAATCGTGCCTATTCAACCCTGCATTCAGCTGACTGTCGGGCACGGCGAGAGAAGCGATAGGACGAGTCTAGGACTAGATATTGCGAACCATGAAATAAATAAATAGGCAGATCAGGACAAAAAAGACCGCAGTTACTGGCGCATCGAGCATGAACCCGTTCGATATGAGCATTTGCAGTTCTCTCTCGATGCTCTGACCAGAGATATTAGCTTGAATAGACGCCTGTTGTTGTAGGGCGGTCAATTCGATGTGCGTCTCTGATGCTGAACGAGCTGCTAAGGCTGCTTTCATGGCAATGACTCCCCATGCCCAAGCAAGGCTCATACCGATAAGAAGTGTGAGTTCCCCAAGAAGAAAGATAAGCAGGATGCCTGAAGGAGGTAGAATGAAGAGCACTATGCACGTGAAAAACGTTTCTGGACCAATCGCGTGCAATGTAGGGCCAATGAACATGAGCAAGGCAGCCGCCCATGCGGCGGCTAAACATCGAAACAACACCTTCAGGTCGCGACTATTGAAATAGTCGAGCCATGCGGGGAGACCTCGCCTCGTCATCCTGGTGGATTCATATCATAGTCTAGACTTGTGGGCGTCGAGAGCACGTCAGCTTGGAACTACAACCAAAATCTAGGTATACAGCTGACCTGCAAATCTTTTTCGTGTGAAGTAGTATATTAGGTAATATGAGCAGAAATTGCTCGCCGTACGCAGCGGGAACTGCAGAAGGAAGGGGACTTCCGAGGTGGGACGAAACATGTAATGTGTTAGAAGGCAAACGTATGCATCTCTGGGGGATATGCAGGCATGATACAACGTAGATAGCAGCCAATGTTTGGGGGCTTGGTTGCTATTTTTTATTTCATTTCAAATGCTGAACTTGAAACAATAAATAGCAAATGAGAGTTTCCATTATGACTCTTTCCACAGACTATGATTATCTTGCGCCATCAAGTGTACAAAATGTATGATGTCATGAGGCCACAGTCAGAAGAGGCGAGCGTCAAGGGCAACAGCACGAGATTCAAGCCCTTCCAAGCGACCTAGAATTGCGGATGATCGGACGATAACATCAGAGATCTCGCTTCGTTCTAGGACCACTACGTCGAAGCAGGTCAGCCCAACTAGAGATATTCTGAATCAGCTCCGCCTCGCGGATCCTCCCGTCGTCTGCTGGCCACTAACGGTAAGCCTGACGCCGGAATCTGCAATCGTCCTAAGGAAGCGATTGACAGACGGATTTGGGCGTAAAATAATTTCCCGAGGGCTTGGAGTATGTTGTTTTCGTCATGTTGAAGGCATCGTGGTGACTAATGGCGTATAGTCGCGCATCCGTGCCTTCGACTCCCTTACCGCCGATGAGATACGCGAAATAGCGTACTATCACTCAAGTACCCTGTCCGATGCCGCCCTTGATGACCTTTGGGCAGAGCTGAAAATGATATGTTATGATGCGAGGCAGTGCGATATCTACGGGAAAGATAAGAACGCATGGTGTCTGGATGTGGTGCAGCCTATTTTGACTTCTTTAATCCAAGGGTGTCAGCTGCTGCAACTAATCACGCAGCATTGGGCGTGTCCTGCATGACCGGACCTGAGGGTCTAGGCCCCGCCCTCTGACTCGGCTTCGGCGTCCGAAAGTGAATAACTCACCAACTAGTCATATTATAGACCAATTCACATCGCACAGGAGGAAACCAACAACCTTAGGGTCGCTACCAAATTTGCTAGCTGAATAGATCAAGGCATCAGTGGGCCAATAGTATCAAGGTTCGGAGTAAGGCCACGGCCAAGAAATGGCTGTTGGAATGTCCCACACCAAGCTTCGGCCGAGTACCATAAGCCTTGGAACGTTGCTGTAAGTGGCTCATAATGATCAAGCTTGCCACCCCATCCACTCTGGGCATTGTGGGACGAACGTAGACAAGGGTCGCTGCCACTCAGACACTGGTATAGTGTTACTGAAGCTTTTTGCTCCTATCACAGTCGTTTTATCTGTGCAACCGCCCGCATCGTGCTCAGCGAATTACATTCTGCATAGGTTATAATTTTATGGCCTCGCTACTAAAAAAGAGTTTCTGGCGACTTGAACACCATTTACAGCAAGAGAATCAGCATCCGGATTGGAATGATCACACATGCTCTCTGGTTATTACGTGTTATCTTAACAACCAGCTATGACTGGTTCCAGCAATTCATGCTTCACGGCTCTAGGTTGACTTCAAAGTGAGCTTCTACTTTAGTTTCCACCTTCCGTTTTTAAGAGTGGAGTGTTGTCTTGGCACCCATCATATCCGCCCAATTATCGTGAAGACCTGAATACAATGTAGCAGGCAAAAAATTGGTCTCAAAGCCAGCTACTTGCGAATATTTGACCTTCTTCATTGTAGATTAAAGGCGTCACCGAGTTTCACATGTCCTCCTGACCACCACCACTAAGATGACTTTTGACTGCTGCTGGCAGTATATCCAGCTTCTCTTCTTCTGTTGACTTGTCAAGACCTGATTCATGACTGGTTTCTCGGCGCCGTGTGGCAACCTCCTCTTCTCCATGCGAATTGTAAGGTGCCCAATAGGTCCAGTTCAGGCGGATTATAGGTAAAGTGGTATTGATGGCCGTGGAGGCCTGCGATCGCATCCTACGGGGGCGACATAGATAGCAAACTCATCATGTACTGATGATCATCCTCGTCGTCTGCCTCACTGGTTAGAGCATGAGAAAAGTCATGCCTGGCCGTCTGTTTTACTATGTGCCCTAGGTAAGTATGAATCGCCTCATCATTGCACCGCGAGTGCATTAGGATCTGATCTTTCAGGAAAAGTAGTTGGCTGTTCAGGTCCTTCACTTCAATCTCTAGTCTAGACTTCCTTCGCGAGACTTCCTGGAACTGGTTCTGGAGCTGGTTTGTCTCCCGCTTCTTCTTCCGGCGCGATTTACTGGCTGCCACGCGGTTCCGCTCAAGGTGTTTTGCTCGTTTGTCCGTATCCCTGTTCCGCCGGCGTGGTGAGGACGCAACTTTATTGCTGCTAGGGTCTGAGTATGGAGAGAGAGAGTCGTTATCGAATCTAGATTCAGAATTGTAGTTGGCGGCGGCGGTAGAGTTGGAAAATGAGGAGGATGACGAGCTAGGTATTGACGGGTAGGATAATAAGAACGGTGGCGCAGGATTGGAACGGGCATCTATTGATGTTTCACTACTGCCTTGAGGTGCCGGCCTAATTGCGCGGTTGCGGAGGCGTGGGCGGTTCGTGTTTTCCTCGCCTTTGTCTTGCATTTTTAGCGCCGCGGCCTCCACTGTGCCTGTTCGGCAGGATGGGGTTTGCAAGAAAGGAAGTTCTGTTTCCTGGTGGTGGTTTTCATTCTCGAGCAATTGTGTGAGGGAGACGAATTCAGGCGAAAACTGATCGGCCGGGAGTATGGACTCTGGGGGAATAAAAAAGTCCATAAAGAAATCAGGCAGGTCAAACGTGGCTTGGGCAGACATTCTGCTGCCTCGAAGATGTTTGTTTTGCTATTCGAATTGGGCGTACGAAGTCAACTAGGCCGCGCGTATGAAGAGCCTCCTCTCCGCATCATATATCTTAAATTCTATGGCGTTGGCGGGTAGATCGACTGTATTAAAAGCTCTTCTCGATGAGGAGCACTTTTATGAACGTGTACAATCAATGTTGGGAAACAGCCTCAAGGGAGCAATAATCCGCGATGCAGAACGGAAGAAAACAGATGTAGCGATGTGAAGCTGAGATGGGGCATATCAATTCTACGGGAGCTTGCAAGCGGAGAGACCCCGCATTTAACAAAGAAGAAATCATTTCAGCTACGATGACGGTCTTCACGTCCGCTACTATGGCACAATCAATCATGTCGATCATGGCTACACTTTGTGGCCCTAGACCTACGATTGTGGGTACAATGGAGTCAGTATGACGCTGTCATTAAATCGACTTGCGAAAGGGGTAATGTGTCAATCGGTTAAAGAAAAAACTGAAAAGCAGGTGCGTGGCGGGGGCCTCGAGCTTCTCCAAACGGAAGCGTTGGGACCAGAACCAATTTGTCTCGCGAGTTATCTGGGACGATAACGTCGTTTCCTCAGAACTACTAATCTGATATTCCGTAGCCTGAGCTCCAAGTTGCCACTCAATAATGGTCTAATTTGATGATAGAGAGACGATGCAGCTTGCGATGCTTGTATGCTTGTATGCTTGGATGGCTGGCCTTAGTACAACGGGACCTGTGATTGAGAATGCTGATTTCTGAACCACCTTGGATTGAATCTGGGTCGTTACTTTCATATTTGTGCCGGCCAAGAATTACTAGTCTGGTTGGCTGAAAAGTTGTTACAGATTGTGGCGGAGAGGAAAATCATCTTGTTCATCTTCAAATGTGGATGACGAAATCTCCAACAAAATGAACCCGGATTGGGCGGGCGGGCGGCGAGGCGCTCTACCAATCCGACCTCGTAAGAGTTAGTCGGACCAAGAGAAATGGAGCAGCGTTGACGATTGGATTAGCATCATTTTCCTCGCACAGATATTGGATTGAAAGTAGCATTCGTCGACCCGTCCCTTGTTGACGGCACCCAAGAATAAGCAACACTGTTATAGCATCCGGAGCCCATCCTTTGTGGTACTTAGCAAGGAAATTGCGCAACATGCATCAATAAACAGAACCCTTTCCCCCTTCTCCAGATGTTCGCTGAATTGTAAGTGCATTTCGATTAAACAATAATCTTTCCACTATTCATTTTTGTCTAAAAGCGTGCTAAGAAGGTACAGAAATTTTCATGCTTGTGACTCGCTATTCATGCTTAGTTTGCGGTATGGATGCAGAAGGATTAATCTGTTCCACGCAATGTTGCCTTTCGGTTTTAAAGACAGACGGTGCGGAACAAAACCCTGCGAAGCAAAATGCTACGGAAAGTATTACTCCCACTTAAAAAGTCAAGTTAATCTAATATTCAAGCAGCAGGATCAGGATCTGGAAGGAGGCCTGCCTGGTATGAATAAAGTCAGCCAGAACGCACAAAGGGAGCTACGAGAATACGAGGAATCGTTTGATTGGATGAGAATTCGAAAAAGGCAGCTTTACTTTCCCAAGTCTTAGATGTTGATTAATTATTCTGTGAAAGATGCCGGCAGAGGGCTAATCAAACTGGGTCCGACGTAGTGGCATTTAAAGCCTATGATAGAGGTAATTTCCAGGATATGTACGCAGGACAAGTATATGCCTTTCTACAAGCCTAAATAGAAGTTGAAAGTGTTCAGAACTAGACAGCGTCCATGCTTGATTAAAATAGCCGAATATGGCTTACTGCATGCCAAATAGCAGATTTACAGCTAATTCAAGTAGTTGCCTCGAAATTTGATATTTGATATTTGATATCCCCAGTATATGATTTATGTGGTTTACAAGCACGTAGGCATCTTTTCCTTTGGATATGCCATTGTGAAGCGTAGGGGGCCCACATAAAAGCAAAGAATTTGTTCATCTAGACAGTGGGAGCATCGGGGTCTCCGGAGATCACACTCCACACCCCAATTTTGGCATGCGCCACATGGCATATTCTTGACAGGTAGTTCTGATCTATTGGAATCCATCTTTTCTCCAGAAGACGCGGAATTCCTCTGCTCAGGCTTCGCGAGGGTTTTGATCGATTCCTGCGGCGGGAATCGAGGATTGGCATTTGCTAAATCATCACCCTGATCTGACCATAACCATCTCTGACGCCGCGAAGAAGCGTATCGACGATGGCTCGTCTTATCCCAGACGACAGTGTCTTTTGTAGAGGTCTCAGAAGTCACGGCTGGTTCGTTGGCCACGGTAGTTGACATTTTGTGTGAAGGCAATTTTCGATACGGACTGTGCCACGAATGAGCAACCTGACAAGCTCGAGGACGATGGATAATCACCATTAAATTTCCCGGCTGTAGCCAGAGTTGAGATGTGAAACAATCACTTTACAGCCTAATAACAGGAAAAGGGCTGATATAGGTTCAGCAAAACTTGGAAATTGGGGAGAAATATTGGAGAAAACTTATCATATAATACTGTCGTTGGAAGGTTGAAAGGGCATCACGGTCACATAGCTGAGATGGCACATCACTACGTCATTACAAAACTATTCCTAGTCGGGCTTCGTCGGAGTTGCCGTGCCGGCGACCATTCAGAATCCCCCCCACGTCAGTCCAATGAAAGGCGATCGAAATTAGAGACATTGCGGTATTGACTGCATCAGCTTATCTGTCAGCTTGAACCACAGTTACGGTCTCTATTATAACCTGCGATGTGGATTATTATAGGTGTAGCCAAGCATCTCATATCCGTCATCATGATGCTCTAAATTGATGCATATGGCCATAAACTACGCGTTATCATGACTCCAGGTAGCCAGCCCACCTTTCAAAGGCACGCCTGGTTGTGGATTGCTGAAAAGGAGCGTTTAAGTTCTCAACTTGCTCCTTGTCATCGATTGCCATCTATAAGCCCGCAACCACATCTTGTCGATATTTGAAACCATGACAGAGCACTTCCCCAATGCTTTCAGAGAAACAGAACCAGTTTGGGTCCACCAGCTGCCCAATTCCAAATATCCTCGGTTTCCATCGCTAGACCACGACATAGAGACAGACGTCTGTATAATTGGCTCTGGCATAGCCGGCATTTCGGCGGCGTATGAGCTCATCACGGGAGGCAAAAGAGTCACCCTTCTCGAAGCCCAGCACGTTCTCTTTGGTGAATCTGGTCGAACGAGCGGTCACCTCTCCAACGCGTTAGACGACGGGTACATTGAGATCGAGAAGCGACACAAGCCCAACGGCGCAAAACTAGCAGCAGAGAGCCACACATGGGCTATAGATCGCGTCGCCCACATAATACGTACGCTGGATCTAGACTGTGAATTCCGCTATGTGCCTGCTTATAGAGTGTCAAAGTTTCTGCCTGGTGACTTGAAGCATGAAGCTGATAATAAGAAAATCAGCAAGGGGGCAGATTATGCAAGAGACGCAGGGGTTGACGCGGTATTTCAAAAGGGTTTCAGCGTGTCCGGGTGGGATGGGGATTTCAGTCAGGAGGACGCAGCGGTTTTCGCAGCTCAAGGAGCCTTTCACCCAACAAAATACTTGCTTGGTGTGCTTGAGTGGTTGAAAGCACATCCAAATTTCCAGTGTTTTGCAGACACACGGGCGACGGGTGTTGATGAAGGAAGAAATAAAGTCATAGTCTGGACAGAGCAGGGATATAACATTACCGCGAAGGATGTGGTTGAGGCAACTTGCATCCCGTTGCAAGATTCGAGTATTTTGGCAGAGATTTCATACTGCAGAACATACTGCATTGCAATTCGTGTGCCCAAGGGTTCTGTTGAGGACTGTCTGATCTATGACACTGATGATCCCCACAAGTATGTTTGTTTAACTGCTTGTGATAACAAGAATGACTATCTTATTGTTGGTGGATGCGATCACAAAGTTGGACATCAAGATTCTCTCGATCGGTTCGAGATTTTGGCGACTTGGGCCTGTCAAAGATTTACGCACGCGGGAACCGTGGATTACCACTGGAGCGGGCAGATTCTGGAACCAGTCGACCACATGGCGTTTATAGGCAAGAAGGAGTGGAAAATGCATACCTACGTGATCACAGGAGACAGTGGCAACGGGCTCACGCATGGTATTCTAGCAGGCCGATTGGTCGCGGATGGAATCGAGGGACGGGAGAACAGTTGGGCGGCGTTGTACGATCCCAGCCGGATGACGAGTGCAGCATGATGTGTTGGTAAACAGAGAACACAGTGGCCGAAGACATCTGAAGGCAATAACGATGTTAGTATTGTTCACGTCAGACAATTCAAATAGTAGATACCTTCGTTAATCTCTTTTGGCAAGAGGTGCAAGCAACAGATTAGTGTTTTTAATTGGCATCTTTGGACACATGAAAAGCAGTGGACGTAACGGGGGCTTTCCAGTCATTTTTTGATTCGCTGTTCAGCTGTCCAATTGAGAAGCATGCGAGCCGGGCAGTAAAAAGAACATCTGCATTCCGAGACCGAAGGGCGCTGCCATTCCTTTTCGCAGCTGCTCTGGGGGTCAAAAGGAAGGAGAAAGGTGAGACGTGTCATTGTACCTTTCGAAAAACTTGGCAGCGTATGATTGGGTGGACTTCGGAAGCAAGGAGCAATTGCATCATTCCTCCTTGGACAGCGTTTCGTGCGCGAACCAATAGAAACTCCGTTAGCTCAGAAGCTGGGCCCACCAGTTGGGTAATTTCTACGCTTTGGTACTCAGGGACGAAGAGCACATACTACTTGGACAATCGATTTGAGAGCGACTTGGCCCATCTTCCTTCGCAGAGAAAAATAAAGCATCGTAAGAAGGAGAAGGTGAAAGGGTAAGGGGAGACAAACGAGGGGAAGTTTAGTAGTCTACGAGTTAAGCGAGATTCATGGTCCAACAATACGAAGGCGAATCATCCAGGACAGAAACTCGTTGGCATACCTGACGACCCGACTGCCGGTAAGTCATTGGTGACAGGTGAGTTTCCTGTGAAATCCGCGGAGTGCTCAATTGCCTGCCAGCTGCTATTATCTGAGATTGCACTTGATGGCCTTCAGTCAGACTACGAATTCGGCCACGTGCATTACATAATGCCGAGTCAGCGACGTGGAGGTGGCAAAACTACAAGGGCGGGTCATTGGTCGGACGCTGGCTCCGTAAGTCACAAAAGTAAGACTTGTCCTCATCGCATCTTTTCAGATTGTCGGCGCGCAACTCCGTCAATACAATCAAGCCAAGGCAATATTGCTTGAGAATTTCAGCGCTGACTGCGACAGCTGCACTACTTATACATTTGGAAGAAGTGTCTTTGTCAAGCAACAGAGCTTGAAGCCTGCAAAAATAAAAAAAAAAAAAAAATAGTCTTGTCAACGCCCCTTTATAGATTGATTGTCGCGCTACCTGAGAACCAGGTGAATTAGCACAAAAGAATCTTCTTCATATATTATTGTTTTAGTTCTTCAAGGATAACTTCCCAACTTCTGAAACTGAAATTGACGAGAACAAGCAAATGGATGATTCATTTTGGGGGTTTGACCCTATCATTGAATTTGACTCTGGCAACCTAAACGATCAAATAGAAGCAAACAGTTCGAAAAAAAAAAAACTATCTGCATTAGCATCATCTAAGTACCCAGCAAAGTCGGCTCAATCGCCTCCGCTGCCCGTTCGATGTGTATCTTCTGCGAATTATTCACAGGAACCTAAGACTTGGGCTACTCGCAGCACGGACCATTCAGATACTGAAAACGGCCAGAAGGAAGATGAATACTGGGGTTTCGATCCCGTGTTGCGATCATCAACAAATTTAAACACAAAGAGCGTTGCTATGGAAGGGAGCTGGTACGTCTTGTCACATGGGCTTTAGAACGTTGGTTTACTGATATTCATAGCAGTAAAGAACCTCATTATTGCACCAAGGCCAGTCGTTTGGGAAGCGAACAGAATGAGAAAGGTTAGAACAAACTAGGCCTTAAAAAACGTTCACAGATTGCGCTGACTAGTCGTGCATAGTTGCAACACACCATCAAACTCAGTCGGTTATTGCATTAGGTCGCTTGTGCACAAGAATGGAGAAAGTGGAAATAAACAGGAATTAACTGATGGATCAAGGGGATTTTGAAAAGCATCAAGCGCTATCAAACTAGCCTTTTAGTGAACACAGTACTAAACGAAGAATGTGCATACCAAAGCGAGTAGTGATGGTTTCGAGATATTAGCCTACAGGGTCAGTTTGAGTGAATAGGCGCCTATTCTAGGTGAGGTTTGTGCTGAGAGTATCACCTCACATTTCACAGCTGGCCGGTCATCCTGGAGAAGGAGGAAAAGGCAAAGGGAATCATTAAGTGTCCAGAGCTAAATTTCTCCCTTCATTCCAGGAAATCTTACTGCCAAGTAAAAGGTGCCCTGGATTACCGGGAATAAAGAGTACACACTACTGGGCCACTCTATTTTGAGAGCCGCTTGGGCTCCTTTCGCTCGCAGAGGAAGAAGAATGATATTTTCTTTTCTTTTTTTTTGCTTTTAAGATTTGAGACCGATTCCTAGTAGCCGCATACAGAAAGAGGAGGTTCTTGGTTTGATTAGGCCAAAGGATGTTTCAGAAATGCTACCTTCGTCAGATACCGGTAGCACAAGTAAGGAGGAAACTATCGCGGATTCTTGACCAAATATCCTGTAAACGGAAGTGTTATGAACCTACCCAAGAGCGGTACAAAACGGCAGAACTGCCCCAGGAACAAACGGTCTTGCCCCAGGTCAACAAAGGCAGGCCCCAGGGCAGCGGGGGGATGCCTCAGGGCAAAGACAGGAATGACCCAGGGCAAGGAACCGCTGCCTCGGGGCACGGGAGGCGCGAGCTAGGAAGCGTGGTCATGCTCTGACCGTTGTATGGTCGAGCTCACCAGCAAGCGCCCACGAACACCAGGCGACCAGCGACCATGGACCAAGAACCTTCACGGACTACGAGCTAGCCTGGATCACGATACAGAGACAATGAACCCAGATCGACCAGAAACCTAAGACGCAGAACCCACGAGGATTACAAACCGTGGTCCGAGAAAAACGAAGTTCTGACTAGGTACAAATCGGAATTGCTGGCCCGACGCCGGAAGAGGCCGCACCTCAGCAAGTTACGTGCGTATACCATCCGGAGGACCACCAAATGGTAGGAGGATGGTAGGAGGCACGATGGAAGCCCATTGGGTATACCATTCATCTACCACCAGATGGTAGGAGAAATGGTAGGAAGCGGAGGACATATAAGGACACTCATTCCACCTGTATCTAGTCTTATTTGTTCTTCGTGATCAATGCTATTGTTATTCTAAGTGCTACCTTCAGATCATTCTGATTCAAGACTCTTTGCGACGCACTTCGTCTAGTACTTCTTGACAGGCTTCATCATACGTGGTGAAGACTGGCCTTGCCTTCGTTCCACCTTAGCCAATTCCGACCGTGACTAGTCCTCATACTAGTTGTACGTTGAGCAAACCTGTGTAAGTCAATCCATTGTCAGGGCTTAGGTCAACACGATCCCGAGGTTTAGGAAGAGATACTTGAGAGGTCAAGGTCCCTTCCGTAACAGGAAGCTTGCTATCACCTACTAGAAGGAACGCCTAATTCTGGTTGTTTGCAGGAGATACTGCGTAATAGAGCAGGAATAGTCAAAGGAAGAGTTATAAGATATTTTGTTTGGAAGGAGAATACTGGGGAGGGCGAAGACTTCCTTCTCTTGGTTAGAATCGAGAGAGAGATTTCCACAGCGGCATTTTCGACTCTCGATCCACAGCGTAGATCCACCGTCCACGATTGGTTGACTTAGAACGGAAGACTGGTGCCAACTCCCGCAAAAGACTACTCCGGAGTACTTTCTGCTGGCCCGCACGGACCACTAGGCCTTGATGTCATTGCTTCCTCGCTTTTAACTTCCGTCCAATCACACGCTGTCAAACTCCTCCTAAAAGTACATCTGCACGTCGGATCCCCGTTTTTCTCCCCCTTATATCAACCCTAGGCGCCTCCGATCTCGAAGTGCGGATGCTCTCCGCTTTCTCAACTGGATAGCTATATAGTGAACCAAAATGCTTGGAAATACCTCAAAGCCTCCGTTACGACGACTGCTTCCCGCAATTGCTCAGACCGCCGCTGCCTCTCACGTGCCGCATAACAACACCAAGCAACAACGCCAATCTTTAGCTTGCAGCTCTTGCCAGAAGAGACGAACAAAGGTATCTATCCATCCAGTCTTTGAATTATCTGACTTGAACATTGTTAATAATAATAGTGCTCCGGTTCGCCCCCATGCGACCAGTGTATAGCCGCCAACGCTGAGTGTATATTCGACGCAAGGCGAGACAGGCGTCGAAAATTCGCGCTAAAGACGGCCGAACACACCAAAGACACACTTATTAGACTTATTGATCTTCTACGACAAGGAACACCTTATGATATTCTCAAGCTTAAGGCACATATGGAATCATGTGTCTCAGACCAAGAGGCTATGGAAAGGTTACCGTTATTTCTCACAAATCCCGGCGCTGCTTGCTATTCACCAAGTATGAGCTTTGAGCAAGCAGGAGCGCATAAGGCGTCCAGTGGATGTTTTAACAATGTGTAAAAATACTGCTTGTTGTTTCATGGCCTGCGAGCCAAAATAGTTTCCCACTAGTTGTTCGTCTTATTGAGCTAATAGCTTAGCTATTGCTTGTTTCGCTTGCGATTCACTAGCCCACGTTGGCGACTGTCTTTGCATAAGTCATCTATTTCGGTAATAACGTTAATAGCTCTGCTTCTGAGCCTTAGATCCCTCCACCATAGTGCTGTTAACAATGCGTGGGCTACTTTGATGTCGTTGGTCGAATGAAAGACGTAAAGCTCGATTAAAGCCATCAGGAGAAAGAGGTTGCTTGTCTGATAGGTGAAAATTGTCTCAGATGGAGCGAGGCTTAGTGGCGACGTGAGTTTAGATTGTCTGGGTACGTAGTAGGCAGGGGAGACCGAGGTTATTGTGAATGTGAGGAGCGCCACGGGCTCGATGCAGAAAATATAGTGAGGAATGGTCGGGAGTGCGGAGGCCTAACAAAGTGACACAAGAAATGCCAGGCGTGAATCCACCGCTGTCTTTATAAATCGTTTCTTCACCACGGCACGTTTCCATATACCAAGCAAATATTGCCGCAACGGAGCCCGCGGGCATCTAGCTGCTGCTCGAGGAACCTCTGAATCTGGTGGGGATTTTCGGGTCAGTCTGCACCCGACCGACTCTTGATCCTGGCTCCACTGGCTGGGGTTGCTATCTCGGACGTTCATAATTCGGTGTCCGCGGACAGCGATGGTGTTCTCGTACCATGTTTGATCCGTACCATTTTTATCGGGTCTGGAACCGTCCTTGAGATGAATTCTCTCAGTCTCAACTTCCAGGCTGCGAAGCCAAGAGATTTCAGAATTTTTCCCTAAGAAACCTGTTGCTCTGCTTTCCTTGCTCCGGTTCAAGTCTTCATCAACGACGTCCAGCGCATCTAATGAGCCTACTGACGAGGATGATGAAGATGAAGATGAAGATGAAGAAGGACTCGCTCTGCGGTCTCGTGCGGGACCTTTTGTCCCTACGGCAGCCCATATCCGCTCGGCCATAGGGCCGCCCAGGCGATCCACAGCTTCCATCAGCAGAGATTCATGTGAACTGACCTGCTCCCTGAGTTGCTGAATGGTGGCCTGTTCCCTTTCGCGAGCAGAGGCAGGATAGACACATTCAAAATTTAAGTCCAAGCATTGACTGCAGCTTGGTACTTGAGCTCCACACTTTACTTTGCGTGTGCGGCAAGTCTGACATGCGCGCACAGCTCGCCGGCGCGAGATAAATGGCCGGATAGTAAGGCGGGGTATCGTGACTTTCCTTCTACCTGTCTCGCTGGGATCATCGCGCTCTCCGATTGTCGAACCGTGCCCATTACCGACGGGAGTGGAAAACATGGTATGATGGTGAAATTCAATAATGCGTTGTGGCGAGCATTGGGCTGAGATTTTGGCCTGCCGACGGTGGGCCAGATAAGGCGGCGGTGACATGATGTCATTGATTTTCGACTAAATGAGACGCATTGCATATTATGCATACCCCTCGACTCCGAGCCTCGGCCTCGCTATCCCGAAAGTCCATTTGAGCATGAACCGCTAAAAGCCTCGAACACCCGCGTTTTCACTTCGCGCCACTAACACGTCAGGATCGATAAGCGCGGAGCTATTGTAGGGCAGTTCAGCAGCACTCTATTTCAGGCACTAATCAGCTGAGTCATTCAAATTGGATAACTAACTATATTACTGTAACTAACAGTTACCTATTATCTTATCCCTCGACTGACGCATTGGGGTAAAGGTCTCAACCCGTCCATGCTCTGCTGGACTCACGCCATCATCGATGCTGAAGCTTTGAGACTCATACTTGGCTCCCCCAGATCCTGGCCCACCAATTTGATTGGTTCTCGGTGGTCAGATCTGGCGCTTAACCACATCGAATAGGCGCAATTCTTGGCATCCCCCACCAAAAAAAAAAAAATTGGATGATAGCACCCTTCGCCGATCGTAGGGAGCACACGTGCAAAGGTATTTTTGGTAGGCTGTGGCCAGAGAAAGACCGCAACGCTAATCACTTGTTAGCATGAAGCGAAGAAGGGAGAAGAATGAGGCATACTACTCTTTTTTGAAGACGAAATCGTGCCTAATAACAGCTCAGAGATCCCTGTTATACGTTTCTTGTGCAGCCGGAGCGCATTGCTGCTTTCATTCTTAAGTCTCTCTCCGTCGTTACATCAGTGGATATCCAAAGCTGAAGGCGATATTCGTAGTACGTGAACCCAACGTGCTGACGGAAAGACGTGAGGAGCAATCGAGCTGGAAACGAAAAGCCGGGTATATTGGCTAAGAAATTAAGGTGTAGTTGAACCCATCTTCTTTAGGTTTGAACTTAGGGAGTCAGAGAATCTGGAAAACTATGGTAATTATTTCAACAGGAAGTTCGAAGAATGCCATATCAAAAACTCGCTAAATGAATAGAAGCACCACAGCGGGAAGGTTTCTGAGAAGTTATGCTACAGTGGCATGACAAAAGTTTGAGTCCCCCCACTTTTGCTGAGCCAATAAGGTACCCAAGAATACGTTCACTAAACTTGATATCGTAAGCGGTCTTCAGGGCGGTGACTCGAACTTTTGTCATGCCACTGTAGAATACGGGCTGTTGCTGCTCATCGAGCTTTTATCGGGACTACTTTACTCCGTTAGCGAGTTCGGTCGCAAATGCTCATGGCCGGCAAATTTGTTCTTGGCGATACGAGCTGGCGTCAGGTGATCATCGGGAGTTATTACGTGTAGGTGTAGGGCTGCGCATAGGAGTCTGTCGGAAATCGCGGCGTACGTGCACGGTCTCTTTGTTACGAAAGGTTCAAAGCGGACCACGAGGAGCGGTGAAACCAGTTTTCGTAGTATTGGGCATCAGCTGGGCATGAAGACGGAAGAGTCTCGGGATGATTGCTTTTACTGTGAGGGAGGGCCGGCAGAGTCCAGGGAGCGTCTGAGGAGTGGAGTCGGCGCTATCTCGCTAAGCGGGTTGTTGGCGGTTGTCAGCAACGAGTCCCATATCGATGCGTGGTGCTAGAGACGGGCGAAGAAGGGGTCGGAGACGAAAAGGAATGCTGGACGGAGACTTCGAAGTGAGACTGCGTTCACCTGTCAGGACACGAAGGGAAATGGCGGCCGCCATTTAGTTTTCGTTTCGCTGAGTCTGGCTCTAATACGTCGAGATTCATTGTGTCAGTGTCTAATATCGTATGTAGTGTCTTTGGAGATGAAGATCTGGATAAATGTGTTGTAGGATCTATATGTGTATAGGAGTAACGCTCGTTGCCAGGTCTACCGATTGACATCAATATTTCTTAAAGCGGAGGATCAAAGAAGGTCCGGACAGTTGAATAAACTGTGTGTGTGTGTGTGTGTGTGTGTGTGTGTGTGTGTGCGTGTGTGTGTGTGTGTGTGTGTATTTTATACGCTGACCCCTCGCAATAAGCGATATGCAGGTAATAACTACTCTTAAGTACACGATGGTTTGTCCAATTGTGATGATCCAAGGTTCCTGAGAGCGACCTTTGAGCCTCGCCTGATAGGCCTGTGATTGATTCCACTTTAACCTGTGAAAAGGCTGGGGTACTCACTACCCCGTGCTGTAGTGTCTCTCCATAGAGACGGTTGTGGTGGGAAATGTGGTGCCGGCGACGGGAATCGAACCCGTAACCTCCCAAAAAAGCAGGGTGACCAATCCCACTTTTTCAGAGGCTGCCTCGGAGCGCTTACATTGCCATCCCCACATATGCCTCTTTACTCCAGCTGGAGTCGCTCCGGAAAGTGGGGGGATGGCTCAAGCTTTTGCAAACTTAGGAGGGTGCCTAGTTTCCGCAAACGGCCAGCATGCCTTGTGTCCCCGAAGTCTTTTTTTCTCTTTTGGATTATGCCGTCATTGACATTGTTTTCGGTGTCGCGACCCTAAAAATGACGAGAATGGAAAGTGGTAGCATTCTGGCTGTCAAAAATAGATGATCATACCAGATGTTGTCTGCCGTTTTTAGCTGTTCCTTTTAGGTTGCTTAATTGAAAACCCAGCTCCTGAACCTACGATGACTATATATCCCCCGAGATTGACTGAGGTACCATGCTTCTATCTACACATGTGACTCTATATGGTTTGGTTAAATGCCTTGGCTATCCGCTTTTCTTGCCTCTTCCTTGTCCAACCTATTTTTCCGGTCTTCGATTGGCGAAAAAGTTTTGATAATTCACCTGACATGGGGCGCTTCGCCCGTGATGATCTTATGGTGGAAGAGGAGGCTAAAGTCAATGTTGACTACCTCTCAAACCCATGGGATCATGGAGATATCTGGGCAACAAGGAGATATATTCTCCGCAAAAGGAGGCCAGGGCCACCCAATAAGCAACGATTGGAAAATACTCTTTGGCGAGCATGGGTGAAATCAAGTCAAAACTTGCCATGTTTCCCGGCGAGTTTATTGAACTGGTTCGTCTCATCGCTTCCCAAAAGTCTATTCCGGAATAAGGAGCGGTCTTTACTCACATGTTGTAGGGATAAGGATAGTGACGCAACCTGGCTGTATGGGCCTTTAATCCTAGACAGTAATTCAGGTCCAACCTCGAATATCTTATTCCCCTGCCAGCCAAGACAAATTTGGCCGAAGCCATCACTCAAGAGGGAAAGCATATGGGAAGAATCCAACATCACGAAATTCTTCACGGAAAAGTCATTGCTTAGCAAGCTTTGGTGGATAGCAACGGTAAATTGGCGTCCTCGCCCAGTACTAAGCAACTAACGCTGGGCCACCACACAGATAGCGCTCTCTAGCTCACGCCCATCCTGGAAGCAACGTCGTGTTCGCTTCAATGAACAAGTGAAACATCATTATTATATTATCGAGGATCAGTGCGGTTGCGTCACGTAGAGCGGCAGCACCAGGGACAATTCTATTCTTTCGACCCCGATAAATCTGCTATGTACACACGGTGTCTCCCTGCTTGCGTTTCTGATTGGATTTGAGCGAAGGATTCGCTGTGGGCTTTCAG